TGTTAGTTTCCATTTTGAAACACATCAATCAAAATACCACGGCTTCAAGGAAGAGCGTTCTAAATCCAACTCCATGAAAGTTTAAAAACTCTTACAAGAGGCACAGCATTAAATCGATATCCCATATTAGAAGAAGCAGAAGATAATGCAATTGTAAAAGGAAAGGAAAGTCACGAAACGACTCAATAAAGCTACAGCTACAACTTTAAATAAAACCGCAATGAAACGGAGATAAAATTAATACGAGAGGACACCAGCAATTCTCCGCAAGAAATGGAGCAGCCGTATTATTTCAGGCATTAGAGACCAGTCACACAGTAGCGAGAAGGAGAAGTAGGTTGAGTCCCTCACGCTAACTCGTAGTAGTAGTAGTAGATACGGAAAAGCCGGACAAAAACTATATTGTACGATTCAATAAATGTTGCTGCATCAAGAAAAGTAACAAACATTGCTGTAAAATGTTACGGTCTGAAAAAATTGAACCTTCAATTTTGGATTGTTCATGCATGAGAGAGCGGGCGGGAGAGACTGTACAGTGTCTATGTGACCAAAACTCGAGATGCAAATCAGTGCCATATAAAAACCAACTGCAATCCCATTTCTTTGAAAAATACAGTAAATACTGAAGAAGGCTATACTAAAAATCAGGAAGACGGCGCGCCAAAGAATAAATTCGTACAACTTTGAGATAGAAATTTTTATTTGTCCAATATATTTGAACTATCAAATTATACATCGCCAGCACATAAAATCTAATTATAGGATTATCTTATACTGGGTTTTTTTATTATTTGTACAAATTAGGGAGACGGCGCGGCGCGCGGGGCGATTTGTGTGAAAGGACCATCGCTCCAAGTCTGCTTATTTTTAGCCATTGTAATGCCAGCAATACTAAACTTTCCTTACAAAAACATGTTAGCAGAATACGAAACTACCAAAACCATCCAACTGACATGTAATCGACACACAACTGAAACGATTTTTATTTAACAGACTTCGACCCCAGTAAGTTTGACCCTTAAATGTGAGCGTCAAGATGGAGGGACCAAGTCTCGGATTCCCAATCTATTCATATCAGTTTTTAGTACCAAAATTCTACTATTTGCTACCTTGGTTGAAATTTTAGCTACCTCAATAGTTTTGTTAAAATATAAAAAAATATTTGGTCCCTCCATCTTGACGTCAAGATGGAGGGACCACGTGCAAAAACTGTGTGGATAAATAATCTACCTATGCAGAGTTTTAGTACCTAATTTCTACCTTAACAATATCGCTTTTGTTTGTGCCTCACGTGAAAAGTTTAAAAAATATCGACTATAAATGTTGGTCCCTCCATTTTGACGATTCGAACATTTTGCATTACGCCGTAATGAAAACGTGTTTAAAGATTTTTCAAAAACCATAATTTAGTACCTATTTTCTACCGATAATACTACAGTCCGTATTTAAAAGTTTGATTTTACATAATAAAATTGTTTTTTTAAATTTGTATGAAGGCCTAACATAAGAGCCCTTTCACACGGGCGATTTTTGCCGGTGATTTATCGGTGGTGCAGTATCGAGGAATTAGAGGAATCAATAGGTCAAAATATGTATCACATTTAAATTTTTTGTGTTTTCTAATCACTAGGTACAGTTTTTATTTCATCGAAATCGGTCCAGTATAACCAATCGAAGGTCATAGCCCTGCAAAAATCAGCTACGTTTTTCGAATTTGCCGCACCGACGACGATTTATTGATGAAGGCGGGCGACGTCAACACATGGGATCAACTAATACTGGTTATCTTAAGTAACTGTATGAAATCCAGTGTAAGTTGATCAATCCATGCAACTTTTGTCTGCTGCACATAGAACAATACTAGCGGTCAGACATATAACGTTTTCGTATTGAAATCGGCCTTGATCCATATTACCCACATTATGTTCTCGTATTGAATTTAACTTGTACTGACAATCACAATTAATATTGTGACGAGGAAGCCACGAGCGTTTGTATGGAGAGATTATCTTTTACTGGTTTTTCGTACAGTTACTAGGGAAAACCAGTACAAGTTGATTTCATGTGTTGACGTCACCCGCCTCCGTCAATAAATCGTCGGTGCGGCAAATTCGAAAAACGTAGCTGATTTTTACAGGGCTATACCTATCCTTGGATTGGTTATAATGGACTGATTTTGATGAAATAAAAACTGTAGTGATTAGAAAACACAAAAAAGGAGATTGCCCATTTCTGGTCTAAGAAATTGTCTTGCCTCAAAACGAAAATTAAAGCAATATGTAATATCCCTCATTCTAATGAAGAATAGCTACGGCAATTGTTGTACAAAACAGGGAAACTACCTTAACTGTTAAAGGTCTTTCTACCGTTAGGTATTTTTCCCAAAGATTTTACTGTGATGTGAACCTTTTCGGCACTGTTTACTTCGGTATAGCTAACGATAACGATTTAAGAACGAAATACTCGAAATACAGCCAAACTTCAGAACTTTTGTCTCTTCCGATATCCAACTTTAACATTCAATAACTTCAGAGCTCCTGTCATAATTAAATTATTTTCAGTTACAAAATGTTAAGCAATAATTAGACTTTATAGTTATTTAACTTTGACTTTGATGCAAGGCCTGCAAGTAGTGAGGCAAGCAATGGACGAACACCCATACTCGAGTGGGCATGATTCTTTAAATGTGATACATATTTTGACCTATTGATTCCTCTAGTTCCTCGATACTGCACCACCGATAAATCACCGGCAAAAATCGCCCGTGTGAAAGGGCTCTTATGTTAGGCCTTCATACAAATTTAAAAAAACAATTTTATTATGTAAAATCAAACTTTTAAATACGGACTGTAGTATTATCTGTAGGTAGAAAATAGGTACTAAATTATGGTTTTTGAAAAATCTTTAAAAACGTATTCATTACGGCGTAATGCAAAATGTTCGAATCGTCAAAATGGAGGGACCAACATTTATAGTCGATATTTTTTAAACTTTTCACGTGAGGTACAAACAAAGGCGATATTGTCAAGGTAGAAATTAGGTACTAAAACTCTGCATAGGTAGATTATTTATCCACACAGTTTTTGCACGTGGTCCCTCCATCTTGACGTCAAGATGGAGGGACCAAATTTTTTTTTATTTTTTAACAAAATTATTGAGGTAGCTAAAATTTGAACAAAGGTAGCAAATAGTAGAATTTTGGTACTAAAAACTGATATGAATAGATTGGGAATCCGAGACTTGGTCCCTCCATCTTGACGCTCACCCTTAAATGGGTAGGTAAACATGCTGGTGATGTACTGAGACTGACCTCTACTGTGCTGGGGATATTTCCCGGGACAATTTACGACGGTATAGTGGGTGGGGTTGCCATCTTCAATATTAAAGATTTCATTAAATCATGCTGGCAATAAAACAGTTTGATACCGCATTTATGGGAAGGAGTCCGGTGACCAACTTAATGACGTGTACATTTGTCGGGGTGCGGTGTAGAGGGAAAGTAGGAGCGGTAGGCCTACGAAAACTGTGAAGAGTGTTATTGAAAGTGAAACTGATTGAAGTAAACGATTTTCTTTCTAAAAGACTTTTTCTCAGAAGTTCGTGCCTTTAAAATTATACTCCACAAGACCACTCGCTGCATGGCGCTTCCTTTCTCACTTGAGTCTACCATTATCATCAAGTGGGAAAGGGAGCGCCATATGGCCGCGAATGCTGCAAAGGTCTTCTCAACCATAGTAGAGGCTTTTCCGCAGTTATAAATGTGTCATATCTATTCATATCAGTGACAGCAGTAAACCGCAAATGCTCCAACCGATATCGCGGTTCATGGCAAGATGCGGTCCATACAAATGACAGCCTGTCATATTCTTTTCGTGAGGGACACCGAGTCGTCCAACGTGTGACTGCCGCGATATTTTAGTACTTATTTCGGATACTCCTTTCGTTAAAAAGTGGATTTGACAAAATACCAAAAAATAGTGCGTTTCTTGATGTCTCGTTGGTATGAATTTTGTCGGGCTGACGGTTTTTAGTCTCTGCCTCTTGTAACTCTAACCACTACCCTATATAAGTTACAACTTGGGATAAACCAGTAAAATCTCCCATTTTAGATGTAAATTCCACTCGTCAAATACCCTTAAATCCTTGTAATAAAGTCTATATTGCTTTGGTGACTGCGCTGGGCAGAAACGGTCAGTCCCTTAATGACTTGTGACATTTTGAAATACGGCCAAACCCGTAGTTAAGATGATGTATATTGAGAGCATAAACTTGTAATCTAAATCACGCTTTGAAGCTTGTGGCGAGTTGCATAGGAGACTAGAAGCCTAAGCGATGTGTCTCTGTTATCTTAGTGGGCTACGATAAGAGCTTTCAAGGTTCTATACTTACAAGATACCTAGGTACTTAGGGCGTTTATATGGATGTAAAATCTATCACACGAATAAAAGTTTTGATCTTGAATAAAAAACTGTTTCAGGGGATGTCTTGAAAAGTAATCTCTAGTGCTCAGATACTGTCCTAGGTTTGTAAGTACTTTTATATAAGCTGCTATGAATTTAAATTTCTTGTGGTTCTAGGTTTCTTTCGGGACATTTCAGTAGGTACCGATAAATATTCGTTTTAACTCGTTTCTCAACATGTTATTCTCCAATTTCTCCATAGTTAAAAATTATCGGTTTCATGGTCTGATCATGCCTGCAAAGTTTTCGGTACACCGTCCCTTACATCCTGTATATCAAATCGCCAGAATTTCTCGTTTTCTACCGGCTGACACGCCAGCAAAGTCACGTATGCACTGAAAAACTTCGGCAAGCGTGCGTGAAAGCCGATGGAGTGGAGAGTGCTTCAAAAATCCTCTGTCAAAAAGCCCAACGTGTCGATGGATGGACGGACAAATTAGATTTGTTAGTAGCGAACGCGAGATGGTGGTTTTAGGATGTTGTTTTCGCGTTCAGTTGGAAATTCGAGTTGCACGTTTAATGGAAACCATGCTGACAGCTGATGTAGTGTATTGGCAGTGCGACTGCTTGCGACGCAGTAGGTTCCGGGTTCGATTCCCGGTGGGTCACTTCACAAAGTTGATATTCATCACTTTGTGAATTTGTTGCCAGTGTGGTTAGGATATTACATGCTGAATCATCTGCTTGTCCAAAAGCAAAATGGTTCCGTGCTTTGGGGGGCACGTTAAGTCATCCATCCCGGTTGCTGTCTATAATTACTTTGATGGTGGTCGTTACCCAACCATGTCAGAGGCCTGCTAATTGTATATTAGGTGGTTGAAAACTCTGAGACCAGGGTTCATGGGGTCGTTGGACGACTCGGTGTCCCACTCGAAAAGAAGAATGGAAAGAATATGGTGATGGATGAAAAATGAAGTTCCTAGATAGTAATACAGAGTGTAAGGGACAGCTCTCCGAATACTCATAGGGTGCATTCATACCATTGAACAACTTCCTATAAGAATCAGAAGATATAAAAAAAAAATATTACTTCCCATGAGCTGGATCGTGATTTTGTATTGGGGTTGGAGGACAAAAAAGGTTTTCGTCTCCTAAAATATTTTGTAATGGGAAGTTGTGCAGTTTCATGGTTTGAATGCATCCTTTCAGTATCTGGAGAGTAGCTGCCCACACTCTGATTAATGTGACGTTGAAATCCAGTATTTATATTCCTTAAGAAATAGATTTTTCGATGTGATGTTCATACCTAGTAGGTACAGGCTCTCGCGCTAACTCATCATGAATTAACAATTTAAGATTTCGATTTTTTGTGATTGATACCGGCAAGCAGGACAAAAACTATGTTGTACCTACGAGTAACTAAATGTTGCTGCATTTGTAAAATATTACAGTCTGAAATAAATCGAAACCTTACATTTTGGACTGTACAATGAGTAATGGCTTCATGAAATAGGAAACCTTGTAGTTGAGACTACAAATGTACCTATTGTACCTACAGAGCCCAACAAAGCTACGACTGTAAAGTATGGAATTGGGGCAGCCTTGTTACTCGATCCCTAATGAAATTTCACCTTTTACGCGCCCTGAGTGACGACGGGAATTAGAATGAGCCTCTCTTTCGTTTAATGGACTCACGTCAGCCTAGCTCACCCGAAATTTGGAAGGTTTCATTTCAACCTGACTACGAAAATGGGAAACCGAAGTAACTTGCGTACTATAATTAGCAAGGTAGCTAGCTAGATAGCCAGAGCAACTTAGGCAAATGATCAAAATTCAGATTATAGTTACCTAAAACACTTCCCGCTAGTATATCTTGACCACTAACACGTGGCAGGGCTTCATCTTCCGGGATAGGCAAAGTTGTTTTTCTTGGTCTGAAGAGCGTAAATGGCTGTAAAAAAGTGACACGTCTGACAAAAGTTTGAGAGTCATTCAGAAGACTGTATATCACCGTAATGACAGGTTGTCAGCCTGTCGCCTAAAATTGCAATGTACATCAACTCTCAAATCCCTTAGTCGCTTTTTGCGACACCCACGGGAAAGATGTGGGGTGATGCTATTCTAAGTCGGCCGGCACCACAAAGCATAAATAAAATGAATTAAGTATCCCTCTATTTCAGTCGTCGTGAGTTCGTGACCCATTTTCCTCTGAAGTCAAAAAGGCATCGCATTTGTCCACATTTATTATTCAAGTAGGCAACAGAATCTAATTTCGTACACTTTAGAAAATATGTTTTTAATGAAAAAATGTATATGTCGCAGGAATGTAGCGAAATCCGGTTATTCGCGAAATCCCTAGGCCCTTCGCGAAGAGCCGGATAACTGCGAAATGCATCGATTTATTCGCACATTTCCCGGAAATCTGCGAATCAGGGTTGCCAACCTAAAAATTTCTTTTCTCGTACACAAGCTCCTAAAAATCTCGTATTTTACGTTTCAAACCTCGTACAGCTTTTGACGTGTGGTAAAACCAATAATGTCATAATTTACCAATTTACGACCAGTCAAAATATGTAATCTTAAACTGGTTTTACTCGTTTCAGAACGTAATTAATAGTTAATGAATACAAATTTGTCATTATTTACAAAAGTTTTATTCAAATCAGTCATTATTTACAAAAGTTTCATTAACTTAACTACTAACTACTTCAACTTCAAATAGCACGTCAGGAACATCTTCAGCTTCCATTGAAGCTGAAGTTGAAGCTGAAGCAGAAGCTGAAGATGTCCCTGCCATCGCTACATCTGTTTTTTTTGGTTGGCCATATAATTTCGTCTTCGTCATTCGATCATACATTTCTCGCGATGGTTCAAACTTTACACAGTTTCCAGTCCTTGATGGGCCTTTGGTGCTTTCGGCGGCTAGAAGTGTGCCGTTTACGGTCTCCACTGTTAATCTATTCCTTAAGTTAGTTTTTATTAAATTCACTTTACTGAACACCCGTTCGCAATCAGCATTTGCATGGGGTAGGGACAGTGTAGATAAGGCAAAACGAGCCAGCTCGGAAAAGTCGTCAGTTTTTAGTAACTGGGCCCAAAATTTGTCTGGCTCACTAATTTCAGTTAAACCTTTAGGATACCGAGCTATGGCATTTGGCAGCCTTCTCCATTGGTCATCGATTATTTGCTTGTCTGCGTAATCATCAGGTGCGATTATTCGTGGGACCATCTCCACTAGAGGCATTAGTGTTGGGAAATGGTTCCTGAAGTCGTGGGAGAGTGCTGATTTTGGACCAAAAACTTGTAGCTTCGACAATACAGGATCATCCATGTTGTATCGCTTTCTTATCTCTGTGGCTGCTGTTTGACAGAAATTCTTGCAGTGTGAATAAAACTGTGTAATTTCTGCAGGCCGTCTTACTACGTCTTGATGTTTCATGAGCTCGTACACTTTGACGCCGAAATACAAAGCTGCATCATGGAGCTGATGTTGTTGACTTGCAGGGTCTACTTCCGAAAGATTTGGCCTCATTACATAATCACGTCGTAAATACCGCAATAGGATTTCCTGGTAGAGCTCGCGGATTTTCTCATGTAGATTGTGAACTACGACTTTTTCGCTTTGAAATTCCAAATTGAATTTGATAAATATAGGAAGCGACCATTCCAGAAAACAATAGTAGAGCTTGTAAAATGGGTTACTCAGTTTTTCGAGAATGAAAATTGCTCGATTTCTTACTTCCGCTTTAGCTTTGTGTGTTCGATTTGTTGTGAAATCAATGAAAAACAGACGCAAAGCCTCCCATTGCTCCAATATTCTTTCTACCACTGCTAACAGGGAAAGCCATCTGGTCTGTGAAGGTTTTAGTATTTTATGTGGCTCCACGTCAACAAAGGATTGAAAGTTTCGGAAATCAAACTGTCGCTTGTCACTGTGCTTGAAAAAATTGTATATGTCTCGGGCTAGTTGCTCCAAATTTTCTGGCAGCATTTTGCACGCTTCACTGGCACACAAATGAGCTGAGTGGCAAACGCACTTCGTGATTGTGATCCCAGGTAACTCATTCAGTAGCCTCGTTTTGACCGAGTTGTTATCACCCATCATGACATTACATCCATCTGAACCAAACCCTATAGCATTTGTCAGCGGCACTTCACGACAGGTAAATGATTCAATAAGAGCTTTGAATAAGCTCTCAGCGTTTGCCGTGGCAATGTCACCAGCATCGGTGTTCTCTTTGAATACTTTGTAGAGCTCCCAAAATGCACTGCATATCTTTTGAGCAGCTTCGTCAAAGTAACGAACTACGACGCAAGCAGTTTTGATTGACGTGACGTCCGTTGTTTCATCAGTCATTATAGAAAATTTGGTTTGTTTTAGTTTATTGGCCAATTCTGATTTGTGCCCTTCACCAATAACATTTTTTACTACGGCTGTTACTTTGGTTCGTTTGAGATCAATTTCCTTTATCAATTTAGAATCGATTACAATTTCTTTTAATAAGTCTGTTAAATGGTCTGCCACTGAAAATGGAATATTATGTTCGGCGAAAAAACCAGCTAGCTTAATTTCGGCTCGAGCTTTCTCTTTGTTTTGTGGAGTTACACCCTTTTGGAACCCAAACGATGTGAGTTTTTGTGTTTTGGAAGTAGAACCTGGTTTGTTTGCTAAATGTTTCTTCGACGAAGCATGACTTTTTATATTGGATAATTCAGCTACTATTGTCGTATCTGGGCAAAATGCACACTTGGCTTTAGTCGAATCACTTTTGTCTTGCATAAGCCAGTCTCTGAAGGCCGCTTCATTCAACCACTGTAGCCTGAAATTCTGTGTACGATGTTGCGATGTAGTATTACCTTCCTTTTTTCTGGTCCATCCGCCTTTTTTGGGTATTTTCCTAGGCGGGGTTCGAGTTGGCGAGCGATCAGCATCATCATTGCTATCACTCATGACTCTAATTTCAGAAAAAGTTCGTAACGTAAAGTTTTTCTTCTTTAAAGTTTGTTTGAAAACAATCCCTCAACTAACTAAAACTCAACGCTCACTTCTACAAAGACAAACAAAAGTACACAACTCCTATCTACATGTAAAGAAAGAAAAGAAGATACATATTTCAGTATGTGCGACAGAGACAAATAGTGCGAGAAACGAACGAATGAACCAGCGAGCGAACGAACTGGAACTTTTTCGTCTCGCTCGGGAATTTCTTTCATAGACAATCGATGACTTTTCATAGACTATCATTACTTGAGAAGCAAAAAAGGGTTGCCAGCAATTAAAATTATGTTACCTGTGAAAATCTCGTACAAAATTGTACGAGATTGACAGTGTCCTCGTACCTCGTACAGGAGACCATAAATCTCGTATTTGTACGAGAAATCTCGTACGGTTGGCAACGCTGCTGCGAATTCGTTATTTGCATGGACATAAATCCAGGAAAACTGCGTATAAGGCGACACGCGGCTACGAAGCCGCCTACGTACCTGCTACGAAAGGTTCCATATGTAGCAAAGGTTCCATATGCTGATCAGGTGGTTCAGCCTGCAATCGCCTACTCATTCATGTCAGCGGCCCACGGAACGGCCTTGGCTTTGGCCATGGTCATGGTCATGCTCATGCTCATGCTCATGGTCATACTCATGGCCATGCTCATGGCCATGCTCATGC